GGTCCTTACGGCGGACCGGCCTGGAGGCTGTCGTTGGCCAGCAGCCCTAGAAATCCGGCACTGCACCACCCGGACCCACGGGGCTCCCTGGATTCGGAACGCAGGCCTAGAGCTGTGTCAAGCCGGGAGGAGTCGCGCCCGGAACAGCTTTCCGGACACTCGGGCAGTTGTTTGTTTGTTCGTTTATTTATTTATTTTCATTGACCACTGACATGCGCGGGGAGTTTGTTTTCGTGCTGAGTATCCCGGTAGCTAAATCCTTTGGAAAGGAACTCTCAGTCGTTCCATGCCACCAAAGTCCAGCTTTGGCCGAGAGTGATGGAGCGGACAAAGTGGCGCGGTGTTAAGGTGCTCAAGGGCGAGGGATGTGGGGAGGAGGCAAGGGGCGGGGGTGGGGTGGCTCGGTGAAGCACCGGCGGGGGCAACGTCGGGGAGCTGCCTGGAAAGTTGAAGACGGGTGGAAGAAGGTCCCGAATTCTGCCTTGCACGTGGCAGAGCCCCGGGTCTCCCCTCCCCCTCCCCCCCCACACACCCCCCGGGCAGGGAAGGTGGAAAAGGTGACCTGGGGCGCTCAGCGGGGCACGGAGGAGCGAGGAACCGGTTCAGAAAACCGAAGAGGGGGGATCGAGATCTTCGGAGTGGGGCGGGGAAAGACCCCGGGAAAGGGAAGGGAAGCCCGTAGTAAAGGCGAAAGGGTAAGAGAGCTGCACGCACCGCCGAGTCCCTTTTCCAGGTCGGGAAGGCGGAGATTGTTATTTTGGCGCCTTCCCAAACTGCCTTTTACGCCCCCCACCCACCCCCCATCCACCTCCCGTAGGGGTTCGGTAAATATTAACAAACCAGGGAGCATGACTTTCTGGAGTGTGGACGGAGGGCTGGCCCCTCTCCGGTGGGGTTTCGTCTTCTAGACCTCCCCCCTCCCCCCTGCCCCCGAGTTCATGCACACGCACACCTGCTTGACAACAGAAGGGATCAAAATCAATATTGTATTTGTCACCCCTCGGTCTCCTTTTTACTCTCCCGGCAGCCCGGGTGCCACTGAAGCGAATTGTGGATTTATGGAGGGAAATTAGCATAAATTATTACGAAATCTGCAGCCGTGTGTGGTCCAGCTTGTGGGAAAAGAGGCTATTGCGAACTCTCCAAGCAGAAAGGTGGTCGGTGGCGGGCTGCGGCTGAGGAATGAATAGCTCTTGCAGGAAAGAGATTTCCATTTGGTTTGCACATTGATATAATTGACTTATGTGTATTTTATACAGTTTTCCCAACAACTCCCTAAGCCTCTTGGTAGACTCTGCCTCCTCCCCAAAGCTCTGTTCCATAGGCTCTGATGCACTTTTCAAGATTTCTGGAAAATGCTTCTTTCCTCCTCCTCTTCATAATAAAACCAGTGTGAAAATGTTGTTTAAAATAAAATAAACACACACACACAAAACAAAGCCCTTGTCCTGGCTTTGGAGAGCTCCAGCAGCTACCAAAATGGAATTTATAGCAAAATAATTTAAGAGGGACACTCATAACTCCTCATCCAAGGCAAACTTGATGCTGTTGGGCTTGATTTTCTTCATGAACTGTGGAAGGCTCTCCCATCCTCAACTTGTCAAAACTTCAGTCATGACCCTCTACTTGTATCCTTGCATATCCCAAACCTGGTGTTTTGGACTTTCCCTGGGAGGTGGACAAAGATTTATTTCAACTTGGATTTTTTTTTAATCCAAATGTTTCCACTCTTGGAATTTAGTTCAGCTTCTGTTTACTCTGGGCAATTATTTCGACAGCCACACAAAGACCCCCTTGCAAGGCAACAAAATGCCAATTGTTAAAATAAGAAAACATTTCTCTCTCCATCCCCCGCCTTATGCCCCCCTACACACTGATCTCTCTGGGTACCCGGAAGAAAAGAATTTTTCTAAATGCCTGGGGTGGGGGCGGGGGGGGGGAGGAGAAAGTTTTTTTTCACTCCTATCATTCCACCTCCTGAAGGCAAGGATACTTCATCTGTCCTAATACTCATCTTTGTTTCTATATGAATATGCACATATTAACCAGAAGAATTCCCAAAACCTTAAAGACTTCTAACCTTGGGCTCTCTTCTTCTTGGTTCCCAGCTTCATCCCCTTGGAGCACTCTGGTGTTTTGCAGAAAATTGTGAGCCATCTTAAATGTCAGTCCTCTGCTTCTTCAGACTCCCAGGCTCCCCCATTCTGAGGCCTTTGAGTCAACTCTGGACCCGCCAAGCACTCCCCACATCGCCAGCGCACCTCGTGAGCAGTTGGAGTTCAGCCAGCTCCTACAACTCTACTCGCTGCTTCCGGCCTCAGTTCCTCAATTCGGGGACCTGGCCCAAGGGGGTACCTTTTGCCCTGGGTCTCCAGCCCCTTTCCAAGCTGTGCCCCCAAGACAGGTCAGCATCCCTTGCCCAGGCCCTCAGCCCAGCTCTTCCTCATGCTTATTTTTTCCCCCGAATTAAGAAGGTGACATTATTCTTTGCTTCAAGCACTTCTGTTAATATTGGAAAACGTGTGCTTGCATCTCAAGTGAGGCAGCCCAGGCGGGAGAGCCATTTCAATATTAATGAAATTGTTTAATCTCCTAAATTCATCGTGTTTAAGTTACGTTTTGGTGAGTTATTGACCACCACCCCTCCCCAAAAAAACATGGTTAATGAAAGTGTGTGTGTGTGTGTGTGTGTGCGCGCGCGCGCGCGCGCGCCCTGTGACGCTGCACTCTCGCGCTGAGTTGTTTTCTGCAAACCCCTCAGCAACTGAACTGATTCTCACGAAGTGTTGAAACTTGCATCGCTCCCACAATCCCTTCTCCCTTCCCCACCTCCTCCTCCTCCTCCTCAAGGAAAAAAAAGTTTCCACATTTTCCGCGTGCATTTTAAACTGTGGATATTGAGCTTTTAACAAGAAAATTACAAAGAATTTCTTTGTAAAACCGTCCAGAGCGAGAATGTGAAAATTCTGGACGGGGCTGGGGGATTGTGAACAGGGGCATAAGGCAACTACTCCTACACCGCCTGCAGACAGGAGGAGTCCACTCACCATTTCATAGCAATTAGATGATGGTGATGATGACGACGACGACGACAACAACAACGACGACGACGACTTATTACTATCAATTGAACCTCCGCAGACAAACCTTAATGGAAGGAATTCTGCCTTCCGAACTCAGAGGGCAAAAAGGAAAAACGCCACATTTCTCTTAAGTCTTGGCGGTAAACTGGCTTAGAAGTGCCGCTGGCAGTTTTAGTATGTTTTCTTTTTTCTTTTTTCCTTTTTCCTTTTTTTTTTTTTTTTTTGGCCTAGGCTCCTCTCTCTACCTTAAGTAAGTCCCGTCTAAACTAACAGACAGGCAACACCCAACTCCTAAAGTTCCAAACCACACATTTGGGGTTACATGTGTGTGGGAGGTGGGGGAGACACACAGAGGTCCTCCGGGTGATGAACTCAGACCTTCCAGGGTCTCCGCCCCGTGCCTGCTCCCGCAGATCCAAAGCCTCCATCCCGCTGAACAAATTCCTACACACATGAAATGAAGAACCCGCCGGGATCGTCCCGACACACAATCTTACACATTGTTTTTTTTTTTTTTTAGAAAGAGAAAACTCTGGTAGTACATTTAGATTCGAAAAGGGCTTTTACAAGAGACTGTCCGATGATAATGAAGATGTTGACGATGGTAGTCGCAAGAAACAAAACTTAAAACCCTTATCTCTCCAGACCACATACCCACTTCGAGCAGCAGAGATTATTAGACGCGGACCCAGCCGTCGGAGGACCGAGTCCGGGTGGACGTGGGGGCTGGGATGGGAGGGTGCATTTTCATCCTAAGAACCCATGCAACCATCCCCAGGTAATGCTGAGCACAAGCAAAAGGGATCTGCGTGGGGTGTTGGGGGCGGGGACGGAGAGCGGGATCTGGAGTTGGCTGACAATACAAACCCGGCACGGTGCGGAGGAAACCGAATCCCGGACCACGCAGTTTCCGTGCAAAGCACGGTCCGCGCCGCAGCTCGGCGAGCGAACCTCAGCTGCCGCCGCATCCCCGCTCCGCATACCTGCACGGTGCGCACCGGGTCGGCGCGTCCCGCTCCCGGTCCGCGGCCGTGGCTCTTCCCCCTCGGCCCGTCTGCGGCTGGAAGTGATTCCTATTGGCCGAGGTGTCCATGTAAATAGGTGTGAAAGCACCCGGAGCGGCCCCAGCTCTCCCCTCCCGCTCAGTCCCCTCCCCCGCACCCCTCCTTCTCCTCCTCCTCCTCCTCCTCCCAAGGCGATTGTCATATGATAGCTAAGAAGTGGCACATTAATGAAGCACCGCTACGGGGGTCTTTTCTGCTCCTGTCACTACTTAAAACTATCAGATGGTTGGAGGGAGGACATGGAGGCAGGCACCTAGCTCCGTGCCGCCGCGGAGCCCGCAGCCGCACCCCGACGAGGCCCTCGCACCCCAGCTCCCCAGCCCGCCGAGCACGCGGCCAGAAGCACAGCAGACCCGGCGGCTCGGGGCGCCGCGGGGCTGAGCGGCGGAGCTCAGAGGCTCTCGGAGCGCCCCGCCGAGCCCGGGAACCCGGCGAGCGCGCACAGGCCAAGCTGCTGCGCCGTCCCGGATGCCGATGCGCAACTTGGAGCAACTTTAAGGTGAGCCGCTCTTGCGTGCATTCCTGCCGGTTGCGTCCGCTCCGCGTCCCGCTTGCTCCGGTCTCTGCGATCGCGCTCCGCGCACCAGTCACCCTTCCCGCGCGCCGCTGCTAGCTGCAAGTGGCCGGCCGATAGGGCACTGCGCACGCTGAGTCAACACCGCGGGCCACCCGGGCCGCGCCCCTGAGCTTTATCTCGGCCGGCCTGTCTGACCTCGCGGTGTGTGTGTGCGTGTGCGTGTGTGTGTGTGTGTGTGTTTGTGTGCGCGCGCGCGCGAGCGCGCGCCCCTGTCTGTCAGTCTGTCTGTCTGCGAATCCTTCCCTGTCTCACCACCCTCCCGCGCATCCCCCACCCCCTTCCAGATCTCAGCAGCCGTAGTCCGACGCGGACCCCGAGCAGCCGCGGGCTAGCACGATGCCTCGGCCGGGCCGCAACACGTACAGCGACCAGAAGCCGCCCTACTCGTATATCTCGCTGACCGCCATGGCCATCCAGAGCTCTCCCGAGAAGATGCTGCCGTTGAGCGAGATCTACAAGTTCATCATGGACCGCTTCCCCTACTACCGGGAGAACACGCAGCGCTGGCAGAACAGCCTGCGCCACAACCTCTCCTTCAACGACTGCTTCATCAAGATCCCGCGCCGGCCCGACCAGCCCGGCAAGGGCAGCTTCTGGGCTCTGCACCCCAGTTGCGGCGACATGTTCGAGAACGGCAGCTTCCTGCGGCGCCGCAAGCGCTTCAAGGTGCTCAAGTCCGACCACCTGGCGCCCAGCAAGCCGGCCGACGCGGCGCAGTACCTGCAGCAGCAGGCCAAACTGCGGCTCAGCGCCCTGGCCGCCTCGGGCACGCACCTGCCGCAGATGCCCGCCGCCGCCTACAACCTGGGCGGCGTGGCGCAGCCCTCGGGCTTCAAGCACCCCTTCGCCATCGAGAACATCATCGCGCGCGAGTACAAGATGCCCGGCGGCCTGGCCTTCTCAGCCATGCAGCCGGTGCCCGCCGCCTACCCACTCCCTAACCAGTTGACTACTATGGGCAGTTCTCTGGGCCCCGGCTGGCCACACGTGTATGGCTCGGCGGGCGTGCTCGACTCGGCCGCTCCCATCTCCATGGCCAGCGGCGACTACGGCGCCTACGGCGTGCCCCTGAAGCCTCTGTGCCACGCGGCGGGCCAGACGCTGCCCGCCATCCCCGTGCCCATCAAGCCCACGCCGGCCGCTGTGCCTGCGCTGCCCGCGCTGCCCGCGCCAATCCCCGCCTTGCTCTCGAACTCGCCGCCCTCGCTCAGTCCCACGTCGTCCCAGACAGCCACCAGCCAAAGCAGCCCCGCCACCCCCAGCGAGACCCTCACCAGCCCGGCCTCCGCGCTGCACTCGGTGGCCGTGCACTGACCCGCAGCGGCCCGCGCGCGCGCTCTGCGTCCCCGCCCCGCCAAGCGGACTCGCCGGGCCTGGCCCTACATTGCCGCCCACCCCCGGATTTCGGAACGCCACCCTGACACCATACGCCCAACCCTCTCTCCTGGTCTCCCTAGCCGTGCGCCCACTCTCTCTCCTGTTCCCCTTCTCCCGACGTCCACCCTTTCTCCTGTTCTCCTTCACCATGCGCTCACTCTCTCCCAGAACTTTGTTTTAGGCACAGGAGACAAAACACGGGCTTGCAATGAGCCCTGGAGGGGAGGAGAGAGTTATTCTGGGGCCAGTCCGTGGGTAGCGGTAGGCTAGAGGGACCTGAGTCCTTCCACACTCTCCTCGGACCCAGCCCCGGACAGCGACCCCCACCCCCTCCTGCCCCCGGGGAAAAGCCTTCTGGCGCGTCAGCGAAGAGATGCGCATCTTCGCTCTGCTCCGCTGCGAGTGGCGAGCTCAGGCCTTGGCGCACTCGTTTCCAAGAGCCTAGACACCTAGTGCGAGGGTTTCTCGCACAAACGCGCCCCGAGGCTCCAGCCCCACGGCGGAGGGCTGGTCTCTGCTGGCGTGGAGGAGTGCGGCGGGAAGGGACTCCTTAGGCGCCCAGCCCGCTCGCCTCGTCCCATCAGGCCGCCGCTGGCGCCAAGGTTGGGGCAGACCCAGCAACCGCGAGCCTGGGACTCGGCCTCCCCATCTCTGCCGCACCGGTTGGGTTTGATTTGGTTTGTTTTTGTTTCCTGCCCGAGGGTCCAGGCGCTGGGAGTTAGGGGGAAGGCGGAGGAACTGGGCAGAGGACGCTGGTCCTCCACACAAGCAAAACTAAACGAAAAATAACCTTGTGTTGTTTACAAAACGCCCCATATAATGTAAACAGTGAACTGGAAATCGTCTTGCTTGGCGGGCGAGGGGCAAAGCCCACTTTACAATACCTGTTGTAATGTGAATGTTTACTCTTCATTTTCTGGCCAGGTTTAGGGGAGGGATGGGGGAGGTGGTGGTGGTGGTGGTGAAGAAGTTAATTGGGATGTTAACTTTCCAATTACTTAGAGACCTTTTAAACTATTTATTTTATTGTCGGGGTGGGGGGAGAAAATGAAATAAGCCCAGATCGAGAAAGCATCCTGGGTGACTCTTAGAAGAACACAGATAAGCTGACTTGGTGTCACCGGTAAGTCACCCACGGACAAGCCTTTCTGTTTGCCACCAGAACTTTTCAAGATGCTAAAGGGCTGCGAAGAGATGTAAATGCTTGTGAATAGGAATGATTATACACTGTGTAAAATGCACTTTTGTTTCCTATATTCCTTTAGAGTCTTAGGTAATTTGCTGAAAAAACTATTGTTCTGGTGTGACCTGCTTAAGTTAAAAGAAAAAAAAAGTTGTAGTCATCAGAGCTGTAAAATTCTTACCTTTCATTTTCCTTCCTCTCTGAACAGAATTAGCATGGCCTTTTAAATATTGATGTTCTTGCCCCCAGCATGCCTGTTTTAAGACAAAGAATTTTAAAAAGGTGTCTACATTAAATTATGAACCTAGTCCAAATAATATTTTCTCATTAAAATATGTAAATTCAGATTTGAGTTTCGTGTGTTTTTGAAGAATTGCTGCAAAGTTTTTTTGTTGTTGATTTTTTTACAGAAGTCAATGTAGTACTTCTCTGGGCATGCTCTGTGTAATACATTGAGTGATTTGTCTTTCATATCTTATTTTGAAAGTGGTCAATGTTCCTTAATGCACTGGCAAATTGGGGGGAGGGGTGCGGGGGGGTGTTGTTTTCATGGATTCTTGAAAATATTTGTGCATAGGGATAAAAGAGACAAACTATTTCTAGTACCCAATAGATGCCAGGTAGAGTGCTGAAAAAAAATAGTCATTAAAAAAAAAAAGAAAGCATTTTACATGTTCTAAAGATCTATCTTAACTCTACCTGTTACAAAATATGTTGCATTTATATTGATGGAAAGTGTGTGTGGAAATCAGGTTGAAGTGATATGGAGATATAAGAAGTAAAAACAGATTTGCTTACTTGGTGCTTATCTTCTGATGCATCTTATTTGGAGTGAGTATTCATTTCCTTGCTCCTTAAATTATTACAGTTGTTGAACTTTGCATTTTTAGAAGTCACTCAAAAGTTCATATCTCATGTCAAGAAACCTTTTACTTTGAATTGAACAGGTTTCTTTTCATGTCTTTCTCTGGGAAAAGAATACAGATGCATTTATTTTAAAATCACTTTGCATGCTTAATTCTAAATACTTGCTTTTCTTTAACTATTCACAGAAAATTAAAATTTGACAAGGGTTTGTGGCTCTGAGCCAATCGCAAATTTATTAAAGGGGAGGGGGACCACAATATTCCAGGGCAAGGTGTATTCAAATAATGAAGTAACAAGACAAAGACAAACTTAAATGCTGATTAACACTTTACTGTGTAAAATGATTAAACAAGAGTCCCTTGTGTAACAGAGAGAAACTCCACACTGAAATCATGATCATGACACTTTTAAAGGAGAATCCTTAGCACCTGTGACCCTTGTAGATTTAGAGGGTTATCCATGTAAAAAAAAAATTTAGGATTAATGCAAAGGGTAATTAATCCTGTTGTGACCACTTTTTAAAAGGAAGGATCCCACACACAGCCAAAGGGAAAAAAAGTAGAAAATAAATGAATCATTGGACTGATTAAAATGCATGAAGCTACTAAAGCTCTTCAGACAGGAGACAACTAAACTCATTCATCAAGCCCAATTCACAATTATATCAACAAGATCGGCTAAAGAAAGCCTGGAAAACTTAACTACTGGGTTAGGAAACTTGGTTCTCAACAAGAAGTCACACGTATTTTCCAAAACTAAAATACATTTTTACTATTTTCTACAAAAATAAAATGAAGACTTAGAAGTTCTCTGGAATGTTCTAATCTCATTCAGAACATTTGCTAGCATTGAATTTGAACTGGGAATAGGAAAAGCTCAAAGGGCAAGTGTGAGGCCTCATAGGTTTTATCTTAGGTAGTCAGGTAAAATCTCCTTTTTCTAATAGGTTTATGAATTCAGAAATAAATAATTTGTATATGTTGCCGTTCAATATATGAAGATAAAATTAGATCCAGATCCTAGCTCTGTTTTTTAGCAAAGGAGTGATTTCAGCTTAGTGCTTTAAAATGTTCTTTTCAGCTGGTAAGTTCTCGTCATGGTGTATTGCAAAGAATGAAATAACTTGGGCATTGTGATTTCCCTTTTCATGAGATCGCAGCCATCTCTTCTTAGACAAAGTTGAACCCGTGAAATAAAAAAAAAAATCCATTGATAATATCTAGAGCTTGATCCTAAACCCAGAGGCAGCACAAACACTTTTGCCTCCACCCCACTCCATGCCTGTCTCCACCCTCCCCCAGCTTTGAGACTTATACCCCTTTTAGCTTAAGTGCCCCACAAATAAGGAAGTTTATAACTATGATACCTTCAATGGGTCTCTTTGTTATGTTAAATCTTTTCACCTGGCTCAAGTCCAAAGTCAATACACACAGCTTCAAAATAAAAGTGTAAAGGACAGAACCTCTTCCAGGCCCAAAGGATTGGGGTGGAGGCGCTTATGCTGAGGGTTCAGAAAAGTTCTATTCTTTTCTCTTTTGTAAATTGGGGCAGTTTTGAGTTTTCCTCTTAGATAGCTATTCGGTTACTTTAGGGCTTTTACATTATTGTGTACTAGACTTCATCAAGGACTTTCTCTGCCATTCAGGGGCCTGCTTACATAATAGACAAATTTTGTGCATTTTTCTCAAATGCTGCAGAAGTTTTCCTTTTCATTGCCTGGGTGGGATGGTAGGGAAACCTGGAGACTCTCTGGAGGGGTGTCAGAATCCTCCGCATGGTGTCAACATTATAGTTACCTATTTAGCTCTTTTAAAATAGGTGGGAACATTCGGTGTCTGGGAAGCAGAAATTCTGGTCAGGCTTTTACAGTGTGGTGTTGTTCAGAAGTTAGGGGTGGGAGAAGTACTTGAACATAGCACTGTAAGCCATAGGTCTCACATTAGTTTGTACTAAGTTGTATTCCACATCCTTGGGGTACAGTGAGGAGGACAGGTTTATATTTTACAAGTGGAATCCTTATTTGTTTATCTATTTTTGGCAAAAAGTATCCATTTAGGAGATGGAAAATCTCAGTTCTCAAATTCTTTGTATGAATGTCATCTCCTCCCCCCCCCCCCTTCCTGAAGTCACATAGGCGCAGGGACACCCAAACAAAAATAAAACAAAAGCAGTCCAACTGACTGGCTGTGCAACCTCAAAAGGGATGCATTTGTTTCGTTTAAACTAACAACAAATTATCTAATTAATATGTTTCAATTACAGCATGAAAGGCACAGCCCCTGGACCGCCCGCAGAGGGGGCACAATAGCCCCAGAGTCCACTCTAGGAATTTACAATAACTTCACATCTGTTTCTTTATTTTCTGCTTTTGGAATCTCAAACTCCTCTCGAGATCACTTCAAACCACGACCCGAGTTATGAAATATGTCCTGATATAAAGGGGGAAAGAAACTTTGCCCAAGGATGCTTCATTTGCAAGCAAAAAAAAAAAAAGTGAAAACCCATTGCAGAGCATTAAACAAATATATTAGAATTCTGTCACTTTATGCAATTGAGTAGATCAAATGAAGGGTCCAGGCCACTTCATTCACTCTCATTCACTCCAATAGAAAATGCAAAGAATAGCAACCCTAGACTGGCCACCGATGTAGATTTAGCTCCTTTTTACTGGGAGACAAAAAGGCTGAATTTTCACAAACACATTGCTGACTCGGGGACTAGGAAACCAGCCCTGCAACCCCTTTGGAATTTAAATTCATTTTATCTTCCTCTCTCTTTGCGGGGATCTGTTTGCACTACAGTGCAAGATGCAGCGGGACACCCCCTGGATGGTGGGAGTGGGGGAGGGGAAGAGGGGGTGCGGTGGGAACAGGGGCCTCTGAGTTCCCAAGGAGCTCTTGGGATCAGTTCAGATAACTTGGATGAAAACAAACTTCTGTCTACATCGATATAGATATCTTTACATCGCATGTATGTCCAAGTCTTTTACCTCTTGCTGGGCAAGAGTGACCTAAAATAATTTGTTTACCAAAAGGCCAGAATAGCACCTGGGTTCCCTGTTGTCTTCTTAGTGCTAAAATCTGGTCAGCAGTGCTCCTGTGAAACTGAAAGCTGGGCTTTCAATGTGGCCTGGCCTGCTTAATTCTCTTTTCATCTGTGTTTCTCTTTGGCTCTTTATGTCTTTCTCT